AATTTTGTATTGATATAATTTTTAAATTTCTTTATATTGAAGTGTAATCAGTTTATAATGTGTTAGTTTCTGGTATACAGCATAGTGGTTCAGACACACACACACACACACACATATACACACACACATATATATATCTATATATGTATTCCTTTTTATATTCTTTTTCATTATAGGTTATTACAAGGTATCAAATATAGTTCCCAGTGCTATACCTTAGGACCTTGTTGTTTACTGTATATGTAGTAGATAGAATCTGTAAATCCCAAACTCCCAATTTACCCCACCACCCTTCTTCCCCTCTGGTAACCGTAAGTTTGTTTTATATGTGTCTGTCAGTCTGTTTCTGTTTTGTAAATAAGTTCATTTGTGTCATTTTTTTTAGGTTTCACATATAAATGATATCATATGGTATTTTCCTTTCGCTTTCTGTATTACTTCACTTAGTATGACCTCCAGGTTCATCCATGTTGCTGTAAATGGCATTATTTTATTACTTTTAATGGCTCAGTAGTATTCCATTGTGTGTGTGTATGTGTGTGTGTACATAATATATATATATATGTGTATCTCACAACTTCTTTATCCAACCATAGTGATACAATCTTAAATGTATAGAATTTTGCAAGGATACTTCAGGATATTCCCTTATAACACATAACCAAATTCACAAATTGTTTATATTTTGACCTATTTACCTTTTTTAATTTGATAGAAAGATGATAGATTGATTGATAATTGTTTTTCTGAAGCATTCATGAATAAGTTGAAGACATGGTGCCTCTTTATTCCTGAATAATTCTCCCTGTATTTACCAAGGAAAATAATATTCTATTGCATAATTATAATATTATACTCAATGTTAGAACATTTAATGTTGAAATAATACTATAAGCTAGTCTATAGTTCATATTCAAAGTTAGATAATGATCTGAAGATTGACTTCTTAACACTTTTTCTTGCCCAGAATCCAATATAGGCTCACACAGTAATGTAACACTGATACATCTTGAGAATCCTGTAATCTGCTCCAGCTCCTCAGTATTTCTTTTTGTTCTTCTTTTTTTTCTGTTTTTTTATTTCCGAGCAAGTATTTATGTAACATTTTACAGAAGGCTTTATTGAATTCTAACATACATATAAAAATCATATGTGATAGAGTTTCTTAAATAATTTTCACAAGGTAGATGTAAATATGTAAACACCCCATGAAGAAGTGAAACATTTCTTGGCCCTGGAAGCAATCCAACCCCCCTTTCTCCTTTACAGTCACGAATTATTCAAGGAAAACAATAATGCTGACTTTTTTTTTTTGGTAAAGTAAAATAACAACACATAACATGAAATCAGCATTCTTAACAATTTTTAAGTGTGCTGCACACTATTGTTAATTATATGAACATCAAAAAACACCTGGAGATAAATCAAAATTAAAACACAGCAAACCAAAATCTATGGGATACAGCAGAGCAGTTTTAAGAGGCAGGTTTATAGCAATACAGGCATACCTTAGGAAACAAGAAAAATCTCAAATAAACAATCTGACCTTATACCTTAAGGAATAGAAAAAGAAAAGCAAAGAAAACCCAAAGTTAGAAGGAAGGAAATCATAAAGATCAGAGCAGAAATAAGTGAAATAGAGGCTAAAAAGAAAAAAAATCAATGAAACCAACAGCTGATTCTTTGAAAAACTAAACATGATTCATAAGCCTTTAGATAGATTCATCAAGGAAAAAGAGAGGAGACCCAAATCAATAAAATCAGAAATAAAAAACTTACAACTGATGTTACCGAAATACAAAGGATCATAAGAGACTATTAGGAACAGTCATACACCAATAAAATGGACAACCTAGAAGAAATGGAAAATTTCTTAGAAATATATAATCTCAAAAGACTGAACAAGGAAGAAACAGAGAATATGAACGAGCCAATTACCAGTAATGAATATGATTCAGTAATCAAACATTCTAAACAAACAAAAGCCCAAGACCAGATGGCTTCATGGTGAAGTCTTGCAAGCATTTAGAGAAGAGTTAACACTTACCCTTCTCAACACCATAATTCCTCCACATATATGTAGCGTACAAAGAACCCTTTTTAAAGAAAAAGAGGAAGATGTAGAAAAATTATTCAAATATGCAACCACTTTCTAAGAGCTCAATATGATGGGATTTAGAAAGTTCCATCATAATTGGTCATTCTGAGAAATTGTTGAACTTACAGAATTGGATTCAATAAAGTAGAAATCCGAATAATGATCCTGCAGGAGAATTAGATGTAAAAGTCTAATAAAAGCTCAATTATGGATACAAATTTTTTTCCAGAATACCTCAGTGAAAGGGAGGGTCACAAAGATACTTGTATCATTAGAATTCATTTGGCATAGGAGCATGCCAATCTTTAAGGGGACTTTACTGTTTTGCAAATAAGGACAGTACAAAAAGAGCTCCCCTTATAAAAATATATCTTGTGTATATTAATTTCTCTACATTTAGCCTGTGGGAGAAGTCAAAAAAGAAAACAAGGAGATTTTTACAAGTTGTAGAAATGATTTTAGGGATATTAAGTGTGGATGAATTACAGAGCACTTAATTAAAACATGTTGGGTCCCTTATGGTTTTGTCTAGTGACTAATAAATCCCTCATTCCATGTTCATAAGTCCCTCTTCTCCATATAATCATTAGGGAATATTAAAATTGGTGGATAAGGCTTTTCTTCTCCAATTTGAGCTCAATAAATTGATGCTTCATCTCAGAATAACATAGACATTGCCATGAGTTTTGTTAGAGGATGATCACACCAGCATGATCCCAGACATGGGAACAGATGATGGAGAGTGTCTGCATTGCAGAGACAAGAGAAAAGCATGAAAGGCTATCCCACAGATGTCCATGTATTGACAGAGCGTCCCAGCACCAAGTGGATTAGAGTTTATAACATTGACGAGGTGCTGTTACAGGGGGTGCAGAGAAAGAAGAAGCATGGCAGAACCCATAATGCAAGGAAATGAGACTGAAATCTCCGAAGAGTTATTGAAAGGTAAGTGATGAAAGATAGTGAAATGAAGAACTGATAATACTCTTCAGGTGTCAGGAAGTAGCAGACCCAGGTTCCAAGAAAAATTGGCAAGTAATTCTCACTATTCCCAGATTTAATCCCATAACTTTTCATTACCAGCCTTTCCGATGATAAGTCCATCCCATGAGACCTGTAGTAAAAGATGTACTCTTAACCTGCCATCCCACTGTCTGTTCTTGTCTGATGATGCTCATACATCATCTTCTTACCTCTTGAACAAGTCAGAAAATATGATTTTTATTAAAGGATCCTGTTCTAATTCTGATTATATTTGAAGAGGAAAAACTGTACTGCCACTAGAGTCAGTGATCTATGGATGGAAGAGTCATAGAATTAAGCACTGGGGAGAAAACCTGTGGAAATCAAGGTACTTAGTTGACTGCCTAGTTTATTAAATATTTGTCAGCCGATACAGCCTTCCTTCTGTCATAGAAGAGCCCGGCTGAGTGTGTTCTTTCACTTGAGGTTTACCAGCGTAAACCACAGCTGCTTCCTGCATTACTGGAATTTTTGGTAACATTTGGTAAATAGTTTGCTGATCATGATCTGTCTGATCAAAAGCAACATTCCTGGAGAGTCTACCAAACAATAAAATAAGCTAATTCTACTTTTCACATAATCACAAAGAGTTCTCCAATGTATAATTGTAGAATCTTGACTCAGAATATATAATTTTTTAAAAGTACTAATTTTGGTCAGAGAAGGATTTCCACTTAAAACATAAGAGCTCAAGTTTTAAGGAAAAACAGTAGTCAGTGAATTGAGAAACGATTAATGTCCATCAGTTGCTCTAGAGCCCTCTACTGGATCATTTCAGGTGTCTTAAGACCTACCCTCTGTCTTCCATATGTATTTCTACACTTGACTCCTTTTAGAGAATGTGTCCTTTAACAGTTTATTTTCTATTAATTTCTTATGTCTCAGGTCATATAACGATTCAAATGTTCTTTATGATCTATGTTTCATTAAGAATGAATGAGACTAAATTGGTCAAAAATCATGCTCATTGTAGCTCTGAAATGTTGACTCCAATAAAATAGCCTTTCTCTGGCTAAGTTACCCATTTCACCTATTTTCTATATTCTGCAGTCATCAAGAATGAGTCATCTTGCCCTCAGATGTTGCTATTGCCAATACACTTGCTTCTTAGAGATTTTTCCTCTAGGTATTCTATAATACACATTATGGAATTTTAATTATTTTAAGACACAGCTAATTTTAAGGCACGTAAAAATAGTAAGAAACTTGACCCAGACTCACCAAAAAACATGGACTTGAATGATCTTTCCTTAAGCTCTTCCTTCACTTTGTTTTGAATAGACATCCTTTTTACATATATAGAGATGACAGAGAGAGATATAGCTATACAGAGAGATTATGCTCTTGGGTGTCACCTGTTTCTATATCTATTTCTCTTCATAGGTAGTCTTTTATCCTAACATACAGATCAAAGTCTGAGAATTTGCTGGTCCAAACCAACAGTTCCTGAAATAAAGACAACTGGGAATAATAGAGTCCTAAGGGACGTGGATATGGGATATGAAGAGATTCAAACTGATTAAAAGGAAATTTCCAAACAAAATGAACAACTCTGTTTCATCCACTGGTCCAGAAAAGAATAACAGAGGCCAGCGTTTGATTCCCTTGACCAGGTATTTTGCTGGTTCTGACGTGTTTGTCTTTTCATGCTATAGCACCCTATTGTGGTGCAGTGCTGTGGATGTCGTTCCTGAAAATGCTGATGTGACTAAGGATCTGTCTTTTCCCTTCTATATGTAAATATAATGCATGATATAATCACAGAGTTCAACAAAATTCTAGCAATATGATGACTCTGGATGAAATTAGAAAGTAGAAGAGGAACAGTAGCACTAACTTCTTTCAATTGCATTATGAGACCCAAAGACACTAGGTCCTTTTCCAACAGCACAGTCTTCATGCCCTCTGTGTTGACACTAATAGGGATCCCAGGCCTCGAGTCTGTGCAGTGCTGGATTGCAGTTCCATTCTGTGCCATGTATGTCATTGCTGTGTTTGGAAATTCCCTGCTTCTGATCATCATCAAATCAGAACGCAGCCTCCATGAGCCCATGTACATTTTCTTAGGTATGCTCGGAGTCACAGATATTGCACTTAGTACCAGCATTGTGCCCAAGATGCTTGGAATCTTCTGGTTTCATGTACCAGAGATTTATTTCGATTCCTGCTTGCTTCAAATGTGGCTCATCCACACATTTCAATGCACTGAATCAGGCATCCTGCTGGCCATGGCCCTGGATCGGTATGTGGCCATCTGTTATCCTCTGAGACATGCTGCCATCTTCACCCACCAGCTAGTCCCTCAAATCGGGGCTGTAGTAACATTCAGGGCTGCCATTCTTGTAGCCCCATGCCTAGTGCTGATAAAGTACCATTTGCAATTTTATCATACAACAGTCATCTCCCACTCCTACTGTGAGCACATGGCCATTGTGAAACTGGCTGCGGAAGATGTCCAGCTTAACAAAATCTATGGCTTGTTTGTGGCCTTCACTGTGGCGGGATTTGACCTCATGTTCATCACATTGTCCTACATACAGATATTTATCACCGTTTTTCGTCTGCCCCAGAAGGAGGCTAGGTTGAAAGCATTCAATACTTGCATCGCTCACATCTGTGTCTTCCTCCAGTTCTACCTCCTTGCTTTCTTCTCCTTCTTCACACATAGATTTGGGACTCACATCCCCCCTTACATCCATATCCTCTTTTCTAGCATTTACTTGCTGGTCCCTCCATTTCTCAATCCCCTTGTCTATGGTGCAAAGACCAAGCAGATCCGTATCCATATGGTAAAAATGTTGTGTTCATAAAATGCATTGTAATTAATATCTTCAGGCTTTACTCTTTGTGCAAGTAACAATATCTCAAATCAAAATAAAACAACAAAAATCCATGTAATTTGAGATATTTGAGGTTTCTATATAATCATTTTGTGATATTTACCAGAATGATAGCTAGTTTACAGATCATCATAGCTCATGACAACTACAGTGAATAAATAGGGTTTTAGATCCTGCCAGATTAATGAGTGATAAATGTAGAAAGAGCATAATAATGAACATGTATATGTTTTCCTTTTCTCTTTTATGTTTTAGTCCCAGGTTGAGCTATGTCCTTTATAAATCCTTCTGCATTAGGATTCACAAATTATGGATTTCTCACTGGCTTACTGTTCTGAAGTGTTGAGGCATTCAATTAAAACAAGTTTGGACTCTTTTCTTGATCAAAACAGTCATCTTAACAACAAAACTCAGTGGAAGTATATTTTAACCATGTTTTTATTGAAATAAAAGAAAAGAATAAAACATTTTGCATATGATGGGACAATAAAGTCTAAAAATTTTAGTATGTTTCCAAGGTTATTCAGAAAATTGCATGCACAAAAATCATGAGGATAATGTGTCCCCATTTACACATTAATACTTTTTCTATTACCTCCTTTGTTTAGTTCTTTATGTATTCATCAATTGTTATCAAAACCTACAGTCTTATCAATATAATGGTATAAAATACTTGCAGAATGATAAATTTGACTTACTGCTTATGTTTCATGATTTTGTAGCCTTTGTATCCTTATGTTTATGATGCTTAGTTTCTAAATCCTACCATACTGAGCTTTGAGCAAGTTTGCACATTTGACTAAATTTTTCTCCATCCCTCTTAATACCATGTCTCTTTTCTTCCTTTTTCCTTTAAGAAGCAGTTGTTATATGCCTCATATATGCGAAGGAATCATGCCTTGTGCTCTTGATTTAAAAAAAAGATGTATGTGCCTTCACATTTTTAGAAATATGGTAAAATGAATTAGCATGTCTTTTATCATGAGAACAAATGATAAATTCTAAGACAATTTATGCACACAGGCAGGACCTTTCTTCTTGACATGTTTTACCTGGTTTCTAGACTTTCTTCTGTGTAACTAAGCTTAAAGGATACTTGATGTAAGATTGAGACACTGGCAAATTTAGGTAGAATACTTTCGGTTGTGTGGAAAAGGGCATTCGTAATGGATTTTAGGAAGAATAAGTGATAAGGATCAAAAGGCAAGGAATGAACCTTTAGCACTTTTCCTAGAATTTCTTCTGTGATAGGGAGTGAACCAATGTTTCTGATTCCTATTGAATGGAATTGATTCAGAGGTCAGACTGCCATCTGAGCTAATCTTCAGTTTGCTCTTGACTCACCAACAAACAATTCTGAATAGTTTACCACTTTGATTCTCTTCTGTTCTACTGAGTTTTTAAAGTATAGTTAACTTACATATTATATTAGTTTCATCTGCCCAAGAAAGCAATTTGATATTTTTATAAATTACACACCATACAAAATTATTATAAAATATTAACTATATCTTCTGTGCTATACATTCCATCCTAGTGATTTTTTAATTTTATAACTGGTAGTTGGTGACTCTTGATCTCCTTCAATTATTTCACCCCTCACCCTTTTTGTGCTCCCAGAGTTCTATCCTGGGTCCTTTTCACCCTCAAACTATAAAAATGTGTTAGTAATTCTATCTACTTGAAATAATTTAATTATCACCTTCATTAGACCAGTTCCTATAAAGTATTTCCAACTCAGCTGTTCTTACCCTGTTCCAGATACATAGGGCCAGAATGTTTTATTGATATTTTGGTTCATTCTGTATACTTTTGAAAAGGCACCTCAGTTAGTTCCAGGATAGGTAGACAAATTTTTTCAATTTAACATTTGAAAATACCTCCACACTTAGATTTTTACCTATCTATGTTTGGGAGGTGGGTCATTAGGCTACTGAATATTTTTTAAAGGATCATCAATTCTAATTTGTTTACCAAAAGTATAGATGTATAATTATGAAGTACACACCAAGCTGGCAGTCTTGGTCTTTAGCAGAGTAAAATCAGTTGGACCTATTTCCTGGTCAGATAGACTGGTGTTAAGTGGAGACCCATTTTATAAAGGTCCTCTTGAAGAAACATTTAGAGGTCATCACTACCTGACTATAATTAGAGAAAGCAGAGGTGCATAAATGGTGTCCTTATAAATCTCAAAGGAAAAGTGGTGTGTATAATAAATGTTAAAAAAGAAAGATAAATTGGAATTCATCAGATTTAAAATATTTTGTACATCAAATGACACTATCAAGAAAGTGAAATGACAACCTGCAAAGTGGGGGAAATAATTTGCAAATTACACATTGGATAAGGACTTAATACCCCTAATATATATAGAATTCAGTCAGCCACAAATCAAAAAGACAAACAACCCAATTGAAACATAGGCAAAAGACTTGGGTAGTAATTTCTCTAAAGAATATATGCAAATGACCAATGGCATATGAAATGTCAATTAAAACCTTAATGAGATACCACACCACACGTACTAAACTATTTTTTAAAAAACTAACAAGTGTTGGCAAGGATGTAGAAAAATTGGAACAATCACACGTTGCTGGTGAAAATGTAAAATGGTGCAAATTCTGTGGAAAACAGTTTAACAGTTCATAAAAAAGTTAAGGATAGAATTACCATATAGCCCAGTAATTCCACTCCTGGATATATACCCAAAAAATTGAAAACAAGGATAAAACAGATACTTGTACATGAATGTTCATTGCTGCATTATTCGCAATAGCCAAACAGTGGAAACCAGAGTAAATGTATGACAACAGATTAATGAATAAAAAATGCAGCATATATATATATAAATAGAGTATTATGAATCTATAGAAAGGAATGAGATATGAATATATGCTACAACATGGGTGAACTTTGAAAACATTATGTTGAGTGAAATATGACAGGTACAGAACAATAAATATTGCATGATCCCACATATTAAATATCTAGAATTATCAAATTTATAGAAATACAAAGTATGTCAGAGGTTACCGGAGAAATGAGAAGTTGTTGTTTAATAGGTATGATGTTGTCACTAAATTGTACACTTAAAATGATTAATAAAACACATTGTAAGGTATATATATTTTACTACAGTAAAAAATTATTTAAAAAAACAGCATGTAAAAGAACAATAAAATCATATTAATAATTTTGGTCCAGTTTCATTGCGATATAATTGACTTATAGCACTGTATAAATTTAAGGTGTACAGCATAATGATTTGACTTATATACACATGAAATGATTACCACAGAAAGTTTAGTGAACATTCATCATCTCACATAGATACAAAATAAAAAACTAAAAAATTTTCTTCCTTGTGATGAGAACTCAGGATTTACTCTGTCAACAAGTTTTGTATGTAACAAACAGCAGGGTTAATTACATTAATCATATTGTACATTACATCACTAGTACTTATTTATCTTATAACTGGAAAGTTTGTAACTTTTGACTACCTTTATCCAATTCCCCTCCTCCCACCTCTTGCCTCTGGTAGACACTCTGGGACAGACTAATTTACAGTTATTAAATTGAATCAGAAATTAAAACAAAAACAAACAAGCAAAAACACTCTCAACAAACAAAAGTACAGGACCAGATGGCTTCACAGGTGAATTCTATCAAACAGTTAAAGAAGAGTTAATGCCTCGCCTCAAATGATTCCAAAAAATTGAAAAGGAAGGGAAAAAACTAATCTGGAATGTTCAAGAGAATGACTCAATGTTTATTTTTTTGGTTTTTCTTTAAGTGCAAATAATGTCAAATATCACATTCTCATGATGTACTAGACCTTGAAAAAGGAGAGATTATAAAAATATTTTCTTGAAGTGAAGGAATTAAGGTACAGACTGGAGACAGCTTATAGATAATTACACTTGGGGTGTTTAGAGAATTTTTTATGTAAGATTCTGCATAATAGTCTATTTAATCTTCTTTGCCTTTAGTTTTTTTGGCTTGAGTATAGAACTTTTCAGTCCTTTAGTCCCTCTATGGAGTCTCCATTGATGATTTGGGCCTAAAATCCTCAATGTGTAGAAAAATTAACTCAATAAATATATACTATGTGCTTATTTATACAGTAGACTTTATGAGGTATCAGTGAATCAGAAAATATCTGATTTCACAGCTCACATTTTAACTTAAGAAATAAATGCAGACAAAAATAATTATAATTTAGTGGCTTCATGCCATTGGTCCAAGTATTTGCTGATATCAGTAGGAGTGTTTAGTATTTCAGCAGAATTTCAACTGTCTATAAAAAAGCTCAGTGACCCATCACTCCCATTTCCCTGCTCTACACAGGAGATGTCCATCTGGGTTAAATCCTAAAATATTTTTCTCAGTTATCTTTATTTATCCTTTATAATAAGTTAAAATGCATAATACTATGTCTAGGAGAATTGACAATTTAGTGTATACATCTATCAGAATTCATTAAATTATACATCTGAAATTTGTACAGTTTACTGTACAAGAACCATACCACAATAAAGGTGTTAAAAATTAAAAATAAAATAAAATAGTTTTTCAAAATCTTTAAGTGCCTTAGGAAAATGTATAGGCTTTTGGCATTTCTGGCAGATTCTATCCCTTTAAGTGTGTTTGAGAGTTGTCATAAATTTCATTTATTCCTATTCCTCATTGAAACAGACTGTTAAATAGTGTGTATATGTGTGTGTGTGTGTTATTCAAAATACCCAATATTTAGCATTAGTCTTCATTTTAGCATGTGTTAATGGGAGAGAAAAACAAAACCACTCGGTCTTGGATCTGTTTGGTCTTCACCCCATAAATAATGGGGTTGAGCATAGGGGGCACCACCACATAGAGGTTGGCTACTAGGATGTGGATGTGATGAGGGATAGTTTTATCCCCAAAGCGATGGGCAAAAAACGAAAAGAATGCTGGGGCATAGAATATAAATATGACACAGATGTGGGAA